GTGCCTATCATGTGCATCCTTCAGGGATCCTTATCACTGTTTCCATGATGCTTAGCATATTTCATGATATCAGTCATGAGTTAGACACTGCCTCGAAATGGTTAGTAAATAAATAAAGGTTTATACACTTAGCTCTATAATTCCTAATAATTGAAACTAAAAATGAACAATTTGACTGTGCCCGAGTGGCTTGCATGCATATATATATCTGGCTGAGTGTGGATCGGGCTGCACGCCGCAGTGAATGTTACGATGATATTGCGCTTGGGCTGTAGGAGCCCCTCCGGAGTCTGAACCCCCACAGTGAGCGCGGGTACCCAAATGGATCGGGCTGCGCGCCGCAGCGGTCATGGGCATTGCATTGCATTCATGCATTTATACCTGTTTGTCTTACTTGTCCTAGTATTGTTGTTGTTCCACCTTTTTATGTGCTGAATCNGAGTGGAAGTGGGAGAGGATTACTATGGATTTTGTGAGTGGTCTCCCTCGTACCTCGAAGAAGTTTGATTCGATTTGGGTGATTGTGGATCGGCTGACCAAGTCCGCGCACTTCATTCTGGTGTGTACTACCTATTCTTCGGAGCGGTTGGCAGAGATTTTCATCCGGGAAATTGTTAGGTTGCATGGGGTCCCAGTTTCTATCCTCTCGGATAGGGGCACTCAGTTTACTTCCCATTTCAAGAAGACGTTTCAGCAAGAATTGGGTACACAGGTAGAGCTGAGCACAGCATTTCATCCCCAGACGGACGGGCAGTCCGAGCGTACCATTCAGATATTGGAGGACATTTTGCGTGCCTGTGTTATTGATTTTGGAGGTTCTTGGGCTGAGTTCTTGCCACTTGCAGAGTTTGCGTACAACAACAGCTATCAGTCCAGCATTCAAATGGCACTGTATGAGGCCTTATATGGGAGACGGTGTAGATCTCCGGTTGGTTGGTTTGAGCCCGGCGAGGCTAGACTATTGGGGACAGAGTTGGTTTAGGATGCCTTAGAGAAGGTGAAAGTGATCCAGGAGAGACTTCGTACAGCTCAGTCGCGTCAGAAGAGTTATGCGGACCGGAAGGTTCGAGACGTATCCTACATGGTGGGCGAGAAGGTCTTGTTGAAGGTTTCGCCTATGAAGGGCGTTATGAGATTTGGAAAGAAAGGAAAGTTGAGTCCACGGTTCATTGGTCCTTTTGAGATACTTAGGAGAGTTGGGGAGGTGGCCTACATGCTTGCTTTTCCACCCAGCTTGTCGGGAGTTCACCCGGTATTTCATGTTTCTATGCTCCGGAAGTATGTTGGGGACCCGTCCTATGTGTTAGACTTCAGCACGGTTCAGTTGGATGATGACTTGACTTATGATGTGGAGCCAGTGGCTATTTTGGGTCGTCAGGTTCGGAGATTGACATCAAAGGATATAGCTTCGGTAAAGGTGCAGTGGAGAGGTCGGCCCGTAGAGGAAGCTACTTGGGAGACTGAGCAGGAGATGCGGAGCAGATATCCTCATCTATTTGAGACCTCAGGTATGCTTCTCGACCCGCTCGAGGACGAGCGTTTGTTTAAGTTGGGGAGGAGGTGACGACCCAACCCGTCGTCTCATGCATTACAGCCCGTTTGCCCGATTTATTGCTCTTTCATGTTTTATTATCAGCAACGGGTGAGTTAGAGTTGAATTGAATTGGTTTGGGTAGGAAATGAGACACTTAGTCTCTTTAAGGAAGGTTTGGTTTGGAAAAGTCAACCGAATGTTGACTTATAAGTTAGAAGGCTCGGATGTGAATTCCGGTGATTCGGTTAGCTTCATGAGGTGATTTGTGACTTAGGAGTGCGATCGGAATTGAATGTGGAGGTCCGGTGTAGAATTAGGCTTGAATTGGCGAAGGTTGAATTTTGGTGGGATTTTGATCCGGGGGTCGGAATGGAATTCCGAGAGTTGCAGTAGCATCGCTAGGTGATTTTGGATGTGCGGGTAAAATTTCAGGTCATTTGGACGTCGTCTGGTTGGGTTTTTGATCGAATGCGTAATTTTTTAAGAAACTTAGGGTTGAATTCGATGTGATTTGATGGTTTTAGCGTTGTTTGATGTGTTTTAAGGATGAGAACAAGTTTGAATGAAGTGTTAGGATGTATTGGTATTTTTGGTTGAGGTCCCGGGGGCCTCGGGGTGAATTCGAGTGGTTGAACGAGAGGTTTTGAGGTGTGTTGCAGGTCTGTTGCTGCTGTCATCTGGTATTTCCGCTTCTGCGGAAATGGACCGCAGAAGCGGGTGAGCGATAGCGAAACGGTCCTTGAGGGCTTGGCAATTTCCGCAGAAGCGGACGTGGATCCGCAAATGCGGCGACCGCAGAAGCGGTTCTAGACCGCATAAGCGGTCAGGAGAAATTTAAGTGAGATCGCAGAAGCGATCGTTTGGTCGCATATGCGGTGACCGCAGGTGCGGCATGATAACCGCAGAAGCGGAAAACGGTCTGAGTTTAAGTGAACAGTGTTTTCACGATTTTGAAAGAGAAGAAAAATATTTTAGACTTCGGCTTAGGCGGTTTTTTGGGCGATTTTGAAGAGAATTCGAAGGGACTTCATCAGGTATGAACTATTGGACTCGGATTATGTTTATATAGTGAAAAATCATGGATTGAACACTGAAATTTAAGGGATTAAATGCCAAAAATGGAGGTTAGGGCTTGAAACTTAAGAGAGCTTAAATTGATGGTTTGAGGGGTCAAATGGACTCCGATTTTGGTGAATTTTATATGTATGGACTCGTGGCGAGACGAGGAATCCGGTGATGTGAATCTCGTAATTTTTCGAGAAGTGGGCCCGGGGCTCGGGTTTTGCCAACTTAGTGAATTTTGGTATTTTTCGAGTCTTTTCGATTGGGTTATGTTTCTTTAGCCTTATAAAGTATTCGTTGTGGTTTTAATCAGATTCGGCATGCGAAGAGGTTGATTCGAAAGGCAAAGGCATAGCGAGCTAGACTCGGGTTGAGGTGAGTAATAGATGTAGATGATGACCTGAGGGTTTGAAACCCCGGTATATCACATTGTGACGCTATATTGAGGCGAGACACGTACTCTATGACGAGTGCGGGGTCGATTGTGACTGGGGATTGTGACCTAGTCCGTTCCGATTGATGTTCGTACTGTGTTCTTGACTAGAAATTGTTTGGTAATCCTCCTACTTGGATTTTTATGAATTTGTTTGGGGCTTTGTGCCTATCATGTGCATCCTTCAAGGATCCTTATCAGTGTTTCCATGATGCTTAGCATATTTCATGATATCAGTCATGAGCTAGACACTGCCTCGAAATGATTAGTAAACAAATAAAGATTTATACACTTAGCTCTATAATTCCTAATAATTGAAACTAAAAATGAACAATTTGACTGTGCCCGAGTGGCTTGCATGCATATATATATCTGGACTGAGTGTGGATCGGGCTGCACGCCGCAGCGAATGTTACGATGATATTGCGCTTGGGCTGTAGGAGCCCCTCCGGAGTCTGAACCCCCACAGTGAGCGCGGGTACCCAAATGGATCGGGCTGCGCGCCGCAGCGGTCATGGGCATTGCATTGCATTCATGCATTTATACCTGTTTGTCTTACTTGTCCTAGTATTGTTGTTGTTCCACCTTTTTATGTGCTGAATCGCTGATTATAGCTTTATATTGTGATATTTCGGAATTTCTTACTTTCAGCCATTATATATGTTTATTACTCACTGAGTTGGAAGTACTCACTTTACTCCCTGCACTATGTGTGCAGATTCAGGTGCTCCGGAGATTTAGTGGAGTTGTTTGCTGTTTTCGTGAAGTTTATTTTCAGGAGTTGTTGAGGTAGCTGCCTGACGTCCGCAGGACCCAACTCCTCCCCTTTATTTTATTTGGCTTTCCATATCCTAGACTTCTTTATTACTATGGATATATTACTCTGTTACACCTAGAGGCTCTAGACTCGTGACTCCAGATCTATTGGGAAATGTTTGGAATATTCGTTATTATTTTTCGTACTATTTTATTTAGATTCGGATTGGAACCTTGACATTTGCCATCTTAATCATACTATTTGTTAACGGATTACGTATTTGGGTTGAGAGTATTTAATTGGTCGGGCTTGCCTAGCATCAGTGTTGGGCGCCATCACGACCGGGATTGGGGTCGTGACAGCACGTTTGTTTATATTATTGCTTGGTGAGGATGAGAGTAAAAGCACGAAGGGTGGTGCCGTGCACTTGTTGATCTCCGTTCCTTATTGTTGCATGTGTTGTGCCTTCTCTTTGTATTAGTCAATTTATACTTCAAACTGTTATCTCCCCACAACATGCTTCCCCTCCCATATTGTTTTACTTGTCTTGTATTTCGATTCCGCTGTATATTCATAATTGCACAGGTTTATGTGTAGTCCAATCTAGCCTCGTCACTACTTCGCCGGGGTTAAACTAGGCACTTACCAGCACAAGGGGTCGGTTGTGCTGATACTACACTCTGTGCTATTTTGCACAGGACTAGGTTTCGAGCAGCAGCAGCAGTAGTGTGAGAGCAGGCTTCATTTCAGCGAGACCCGAGGTAGCCTTGCAGGCGTCCGCAACCCCGGCATCTCTTCTATCCTTTATTTTTATCTGTTATCTCATTTTATTCGAGACAAAAAGTTTATGTTCTCTTTCAGACGTTTGTATGTAGTATTCTTAGAAGTTCGTGAGTAATGTGACACCAGATTTTGGGTAGAGGATTTTGTTGAACCTTCCGCATTTCCAATCAGCTTTATAAAATGTTAAGACTTCCGCTTATTATTGAATTTCGTTGCTTTTTTATTATTGTCGAAAAATTGTTAAATGGATTAGATTATTAATGGACAAGTAATTAAATTTGGCTTGCCTAGCTCTCATTAGTAGGCGCCATCACGACTCCCGAGGGTGGGAAATCCGCGTCGTGACATATTAAGATGATTGAAATTCCAATATATCTTCAAGGACGGATGATCAACAAATGTTGTTGCTAGGCAGAGAGCTAACCATCATCTTGTTGAATGAATCTTGCAGCAAAAAGGATTTCCCTTTGTTTCTATACCTTATTTTCTCCCTGCACAAGGGAAAAAGTAAAAATCTATTTCAAACTCATAAAAGGTGCATATCATCACCCTGCAAATGCTTTAAGAAACGGAAGGAGAATCCTTTAAAGTCATGAGGCTTGAAAGAGAAAACAACTTCTGTAGTCTGTTTGAGGCTGCCATTTCAAATGCCCATTACATCAATATCCTCCATTAGGAACAACGGATTCAACCCCTGCTTAGACATCATGTGCCTAGAAGAGACACACAACAAATAAGATATTAAAGGTAATAACAACTTGACTTATGGCTGCTGGAATCTTGATTAAGGAAATCATATCAATATATTGAGACTCACGATATGTTGGAACAAAATACCACATCTAGAATTAAGTCATTCGAACAACCAAGTAAATCATTGCCATCAATCGTTTTGACAGTAAGCTGGGGAGGATGTACCACTTTAGTTACGGGTTCAATTGGACCCATAACTTTCAAAGCGAATGATAAATTTATGTGTATAACTTCACTAAAATTGCAATAGATAGTAGACATGAACCCATAACTTAATGCTAAATACATTAACGCTTGAACCCATAGAGTTTCAATTCTGGATCCGCCCTGGCAGTAAGTTAAGTCTTCGCTACAACTACAGTCGTTTGTGGTAACAACCATCAATAACATTATCATCCTTCTCAATCTTAGCCGTTAAAAAGGCTACTGAAAAGTTCTTTTATTTATTTATATTCAAAAGGATGAAGGTAAAGACTCCAGTTCAAGGACTGCTACTCTAGAATTTACCATTAATCTGAGAAGTCATATCTTCCAGTAAATTTCTCAAATGAAAAGCACCAAATATCCATTTCTCTTGTCTTTAGTAATTCATATTCTCCACTTTTGAGCTCATTTTAAAATCCCTGAAAGTAGAAAACATATGTAGAAGAAAAAAAATAAGCATCAGCAAGAAAACAAAAAAATTGCAACACAATGGGCAATCTTTCATCTTACAATTCCCTTTTTTTTTTCTTTCTCTAAAGAAGATCAAGTTGGTAACAAAGTCATATATTGTGAAACAATTACAAGCTCTCTTTATACAAGTGATTACCTTTAAGGTCTTAAAGGATTTAGAGAAAAGAACTTTAGCAAGAGAAAGAGAAAAGGATATCAACATGTCTTCTTCTGTTTTTCATTCTCACTCGTCCTTTCTCAATTGGTGAAATAGTAGAAAGACTGTAAAGATAGAAATGCTAAAAGATATTTAGAAAATTCAAATCTTAAAAGTAAGGAAGAAAGTATATAATAATAGAAACTTGGCCGAAAAGGAATGCGCCCTTGTTTCTTATGTCACTATTTATTTTTCTGCAATTAACAAAAGGCCAAAAAAATTGAAATTTGCAATCAGTTGATGGCAAAAGTATGCAGTCGGCTTTTTGATAAACATTTCAATCAAATGAGTAGTAAAGTATATTGCACATATAGATATTTTTTTTTTTGATTTGCACCGGGTGTCCGAGTCTCTAAGAGCCCCGACTAATCCCGGGGGTGCATAGGCCCTCGGCAAGGAGTTTCCCGCAAGTGCACCACGGTTAATTCAGGTTTTACCTATATTGCACATATAGATATGTTGTTTAGTAGTTTTGTTTTCGCATTGAAGACTGGGATTAGTAATCTACAATGTGATACACGATAGCACACAAATATATGAAAGAATATAGAGATTAGCAGGGAGTGAAACTTTGGGGGAAAAAGAAGGTAGAGAGGGTGGAGTATAGAGAAATTCGGCAAAAGTAGAGAGAAGTAGTGTAAAAAGAGAGATGAAAGAGTATGAAGTATTTGGAAGGATATGGAAAGAGAGTAAAGAATTATTATGGGAATAAACTGATGTGTATGTGCATGAAAATAGGGAGTAAAGAATCGGTGTGGGAAGAGACGGCTGGGTATCTGAATCGGTTTGTTAGTATTATGTAGAAAGATATGTTGTTCGGCAGTGAAATAAAAGGCGGAAAACTATAGAGGGGGAGAAAATGCATTTCCTGCTAATTGGAAATGCCATGTAACCGAGTGTATGTCTCTCTCTCTCTCTATACATACAATACAGATTATAATAAAACTGACTTGCTCCAGGTAAGCGTGTCTTTTGGAGGGGGAGAAGAGGACTTGGATAACAGCGAGAAGGCAATAGTACAATAAAATTGGTAAATTCAGTTCAAGGCAATCATAATTATGCCGTGGTATTTTTTTTCTGATCATTAAATATTGTAGCAATGTTAAATGCCTATGTCACTTCAAACAGAACACAAAACTGTAGAGAAGATGGAAAAACTATATGAGTAAACTATAACCTTCATTGAGAGATGTTGTTCTCGAACTTCGTTACCAAAAAAGATAATAGCAGTCCTTCAGATAAATAACTTCGTTCGTTATTCATTAGGCAAATAATAATGGTAATAGTATTTAAGAATGTTTAGAGCAGTAGTTATCAATTGTGCAGAAACAGTAGTTACGAATTGTGCATAAATCGCAGTGGCGAAGATTATCTGGAGTGTACCTCAATCTTGTAACAACGTTTTGTCTTCGCAATCATAGTGTCCCCACACCTATAAAATTAGATTAGCCAAGTATATCAGTATCTTTACCCTGCACAGGCTTAAAGCATAGATTTATTTTTGGCTGTATGTTATTCTTATATTTGCAATACAACAACAACTGAAGCTACTTTCATACTTCCTAATTAAATGCAACGGTTGAAATGTTGCGTCGACAGCAGTAGTGCTGATTCAAGGGGCAAGAAACATCCATTTTTCCCAATAGAATTAGAGTAGGCAAATATACATATATCAGTTACTCATGATATTAAAATTATGTCGTTGTAATTTTTTAGAATAGAGTAGGCAAATAAGATTGCAGTACACAATAGCGCGAACACACGAAAATTGAAAAATAAATGGAACTGATGAAAAAAGAATTACAAAAAAAAGTAGCAGTGAGGAGAAAAGAGAGCACTCGGCACATTGGCACTTCGCATAAAAGAAAATACTCAATTCACTCACAACATAGAGAACAAATAATTAACTGGTAGCATACAGAAGCACGAACACAATTTCCAAGGTTCCATTTTATTCTCATAAAGCACACAAAGATAGAAGCTTTTTTTGCAATTTAAACCTGAAATTACACCACATAACCGCTTAATATACACATTTGTTTCTTCCGATAATCCTTCGTTAGGTATTCATTAGGCCAATAATAATGGTAATAGTATTTAAGAATATTTAGAGCAGTAGTTACCAAATGTGCAGAAACAGTAGTTATGAATTATTTCTATCAGTTCGAGATAGAGAAGGTAACCCCCGACGGGTTCGAACAACTTGAATGATATCATTTATCAAATTACTAATATATTTGACGCCAATTATGCTCTTTCAAGTTTCAATAGAATTAGAGAAGGCAAATATATCAGTTGATTAGATTAGAATTGCTAATTGGTAAAGATTAAGTTTGAAAGAATTACATACCGACATCTGTTGATTGAACAGAAGTAGTTGTTGATTCCGGGTGCCATGTATAACATTTTTTCAAACAGGTCATAAAAATAAGAAGGAAGAGAGAGGTCTTAAAGAGATGGAGGAGTACAGAGAAAGTGAAAGGGATTGAGGAGTACAGAGAAACTGAAAGAAAACAGAGTGTAAAGAATCGGTGTGAAGACGCGACAGTGCATCTGAAGAGGTTTGTGTATTTTGAGGGTTTTTTTGTTATTCGCGCGGAGGGGAGTATCACCTTTAAAATGCTAAGTGCAGAGGCAGGAAACAAGATTTGCTGCTGAATGGGAGCGCCAAGTCACCGGGCTTAGCCGCTTAGGGCCCTCAATTTTATATATATATATATAATATATATATATACTAAAAACTGAAAATTTTGGCTCTATTTGATTTTTCAAAGACGTTTTTAAATTTTAGCAAAAGTTTAAAATTTTTATTTTGAATAATGTAGTGACTTGAAAAGAGAAGTAAGTGCTATTATAACTATGCTGCAACATTTAATTAAGGGTGAATTAGTCATCTTAACTATTTTTTTTCTACAATTTAGTATTTCCTTAATGGGTAACCCAAAGGTAAAACGGTCACTTATTATGGACCGGAGAGAGTAGCGTTTTAGCTTGAAATGAAAGTGGAGCTTGAAGAAGCGAAGCTAACCTAGAATAGCAGCCTATTATATGTTTTTACGCTCCTTTAATATGTGTAAATTGAAGTAGCAGGAATTTGACCCTGCCTCAACACTCCTTAGGTCTCATTTGTTTGTACTTAATAGAGGTCAGAATCTTAATCATTCAGGTCTTAATCATTAAGTGTGTTTACTTTTATTACTTCACATCCACTTAATGAGTCTGAGTAGGTCTGTATGATTAAGATCTATAACAAAGACTTAATTCCATTAAGATGCTATCATCCATATTCATTATTAATTATCATCACAGCGTACCATTATCAACTACTACATGCCACCCACCACCACCATCACCATTCTCAACCACAAGCACATACTTATCCACCTCAACTACCACAACTAACCACCCGATCACCATCAACAACCAGCCGACACTGCCCATCATTATAAACTACCATCACCGCCATCACCTTCCTTAACCACCACCACCACCACCCACCATTATTAACTATCACCACCACCCACCACCCACCACCACCATCCTCAACTATAATCACCATCACTACTGTAGGCATATAAATTTTATTGGAATTAAATCCATAAAATAATTTGAACTATTTTAAATTCAAGATATATTGGTCCAAATAAATATTATGGGCTAATATAATTGATTAATCATATAAGTCCAACATATATGGATTAAATAAATAAGTCTAATCCATTGGGCTAGCCCATTTAGTTGGGCTAAAGTGATTAGCCCACTTCATTAAGCCCAAGATGTCATCTTCTTAGAGGCCTAGTTTTGTGCCACGTGTCAAATGACGTGGCGCGCCAAGTCAAACGGAAGAGCCAATAGGATCATGCCACGTGTCAAAATGACAAGGCATGCCAAGTCACACTAAAAGGCCAATGAAATCACGTCACGTGTGCAAGTGACATGTTTTGGCCAATCAAATGCGGCCATGTCACACTTCAATTTGATTGGTCGAAAGAGTTTGTTCTTATCACAACTCCTCCCTTCCACAACTATAAATAGGGGTCTTCATAATCCAGAAAAGAGACCACAAGTTATAACAAGAAGCAAGAAAGAGCTCGTGGATCAAACGCTGCAAATTCCTCCACAAGTTTCAAGCTTCAAGAAATCAAGTTCAAGTTCAACAAATCAAGTTGAAGCTCAAGAACGAAGAACAAATCAAGTTCAAGCTCAAGAACGAAGAACAAATCAAGTTCAAGCTCAAGAACGAAGAACAAATCAAGGTTCAAGGAGTGCGAGTTCAACTCAAAGTTTGTGCCAGTTGAATTCAAGATCATCGTTCGTGGCAACAAACATAGATTCAAGATCAAGCTCAAAGGCCCTTGAATTTATTTACAATTGGAAAGAAGAATCAGAGGATCCATAGAGATTGTAACACTCAAATATTCGAAATAAAATACTACGATTGTTGCGATATTTTCGGTCTTGATTTTATTTTCTTGACGCAAATTTATTGTCTACAAATTCTGGCACGCCCAGTGGGACAATCTCTACCTCTCATCTCAACTTTTCAATCACTGAAGTCCAAGAATATTGAAATGGCTTCAAAGAAAATCAACTCCGGTTCAACTTCCACCAAGGCTGCTAACTCCAGGTTCTATGCTGATGTGGAAAGCATCCTCGATGTTACCTTTGGAAGCTTCAGACCAGTTACGAGGAGAGAATCGAGCTCTTTAGGACAACAAGCACTCCAAGTGCCGTCCGTATAAATCCCTATTTTCGGATCTTCATCCTCAAAAGGAGCAAGATCTTCCACAAACGCACCCGAATGAGGAAGCGATGTTGCTGAAAAGATCAAGAAAACTCTTGCTCTGCTTGACCTCTCCGGATCCAAGCGTTCTGTTATGAAGGAAGATGATGATGCTTCAAGTGATGGATCCTCCCCACTTACACCATATAACGTGAACCAATCAAGGATCAATCTGTGTGAAAATCCATGCTACTCTCCATCATCTACAAAAATCATGCAAGCCATGGTGACAAACACCTCATCTGTGGAGGAGCAGTTGGCAAACTTGACGGAAGCAATCGCTGGCTTGACCAAATGCATGCAAAATCAAGATGGTAGAATTAACAAGCTAACAGACAGGGTGGGAATCTTTATGGAAGAAGAATCCACCCACGCACTTGGCAAGCTCCCAGAAGTTCCAGAGAGTGAGTCTCCCCAAAGACAAGTAGCATCCGCTAAGTCTATCCCTGTCTCATCGAAGGGTTGATTCCAATCGATCAACTGAAAGAATTCATTGAAGGAACCATTAAGAACAAGTATGAAGTCTCTGCCAAGTCCTCCCTTACATATGAAAAACCGTACACTGCAAGGGTCGATATGTTGAAGATGCCTGCTGGTTATCAACCTCCAAAGTTTCAACAGTTTGATGGTAAAGGTAATCCAAAGCAACATGTGCCGCACTTCGTGGAGACGTGCAACAATGCTGGGACTTATGGAGATTACCTCGTCAAGCAGTTTGTCTGCTAGCTAAAAGGAAATACTTTTGACTAGTACACAGACCTCGAGGCTGGATCTATGATAGCTGGGATCAACTAGAGCAAGAGTTCCTCAATCGCTTTTATAGCACGAGACGTTCTGTGAGTATGATAGAACTTACAATTACCCGTCAACGAAAGGGTAAACCAGTTATTGACTTTATCAATCGTTGGAGGAATGCAAGCCTCAACTGAAAGATAGGCTTAGTGAAGCTTCAGGCATAGAGATGTGCATCCAAGGCATGTATTGGGGATTGCGCTACATCTTGCAAGGTATCAAGCCTAGAACATTTGAAGAACTTGAAACTCGTGCCCATGACATGGAATTGAGCATGGCCTCTGCTGGAAATGAAAGGCTGCCCATCTATGAACCTCGCAAAGGGAACGACAAGCAAGAAGTCAGGAAGTGGGGCAAGTTCGTACCTAAGTCTGAAAGCAAAGAAACTATGAATGTCAACACGCCACCTATGAAGTTCACGACGAAGGTGAGCAAGAAGCAGAGTATGAATCCACTTCTTTTCAAGATAAGCCAAGTGGAAAGTTGACTCTAAAAGAAATGCAAGAGAAAGAGTACCCATTTCTGGATTCTGATGTGCCAGCCATTTTCGAAGGACTCCTCGAGTTAAATCTCATTGAGCTTCCGGAGATAAAGCGACCAAATGAAGCTGGGAAAACGAATGACCCAAATTAATGCAAATACCATCGACTTGTGAGCCACCCTCTGGAGAAGTGCTTTGTCTTCAAAGACAAAGTCATGGACTTGGCTCGCGAAAAGAAGATCGTGCTTGAAGATGAGAAAGCAAGCGCAAACCAAGTCTCTATCACCTTTGGCTCATTCAGTCCGGATAAATTATGTGGTTCTAAAGAAAGTAAAGATGAAGAATTACCGGAGAACGACAAAGTTGAAGACGATCAACCTGATGATGATGAAGGTTGGACGTTGGTGACTCATCGTAGGCGCCACAAAAGGAGCCCACGAAAAGAATCAATTGAACAACCAACAAAGATGATGATGGTAATAAGACCAACGAAAAAGAATCCAGTTAGGCGTTTGAAGAAAGCAAAAGTGGAGATGCACCACCCTCAAAAGCCACGACATACAATGACCTTGGAGGATTTCTTGCCATCTTGGTTCCGCATGAAGATTTCCCGTGATGGTATTGACGCCTGTTGTTGCAATGCTGATAAAGGGGAAGAAAAGAGTGATGACCTACGGTTGGCACCGTCTCCGGAAAAGCTCATCGAGTCCACTCCTCGAGAAGCTAATGTGTGTGAGGAAAAAGTCACGTTCACAAATGACGATCTTCTGCTAGGTGACACTCTTCATAACCGCCCATTGTACCTGGTTGGCTATATGCGTGATGAAATGGTAAATCGAATTTTGGTTGATGAAGGATCCGCAGTAAACATCTTGCCAATTCACACTGTGAAAGAACTTGGTATTCCTATGAACGAACTCTCGGAAGTCGTGTAATGATTCAAGGATTCAACCAAGGGGGGCAAAGAGCCATAGGCGCGATTAGGCTGGAAATCACCATTGAAGATATGCAATCAAGTGCATGGCTACATGTGATCGATGCAAAGACTTCATACAACGTCTTGCTTGGAAGGCCTTGGATACATGAGAATAAAGTAGTTCCATCTACCTACCACAATGTTTAAAATACTACGAGGGTGAAGTCGAGAAGACGGTAGTTGCTGATGATGAGCCATTCACCGAGGCTGAGTCACACTTCGTCGATGCAAAGTTCTACTTGAAGAACCGCATTGTGAAGGAGCTGAAAGCTGATGATGGCATGAAAAGAAAGAATAAAGAGCCCTCAACTAAAAGAGAAGAGGTGACTACTGGTGGAGCCAAAGCTATTACTAAGGAGGTACAACCCAACGCGAATAAATCTTATAGAGGGAATATTGCGTCTTATGGCAAGAAAGTAAGTCCTGCGCTCCAATATGTCCCTAAAAGGAAGAAAGATGAAGGTGAATCATCTAATATCCAAGCTAACATGCTAAAAGAGTTAACTCTTCCGGTCAAACGAATTGAGGCAGTAAAGTTGTCCTCAAAGCCGCTTGCAGGGTTTGTGGCCCAAAATCATTTGCAGAATGTGGCACTCCCTACAAAGCGAACAGATGAAGGTTTTGATCCTAACGC